GGGGGGGAGAGCCAAGTGTGGTCTGGGAGCCTGGGGCCCTAGGGTGCTGCTGGGATGGGCCGCCTCTGGGTTCAGGGTGCAGGGTCAGCCGCTGCCCGGGTCACCTCCCCAGGCGCAGCTGGAGTAGGCTGAGTCATCTGCACATGGAAAAGTTAAAGGACCTAACACCACCAAAGCGCATTTAAGTAATTTGGGCGATAAGAAGTCGGGTTAATGACTGGTTTCCGCGGGCCGGCTGGGAGGCCCCCGGGGCAATTTCTCTGAATGCCAGGGTGCTGCTCGGAGCTCCGGAGGAGCGGCTGGGTGGCTTTATCCGGACACCAGCCTCCTCCAACAGGTTAAGTCGGGCCCACTCGGCGCACACGTTCTTTTCCCACTTTTCCATCCTTTTCCCCCCAGGGCCTGCCCAGGTAGTGCTGCAAAATGGCTGGCAACGGTGGGGGGAAGGGGGCTTAGCACCCCCAATTCAAGAAGTCAGCCAGGAGAGAGAAGGCAGTGTGGCTCAGAGGGGATCTGGAGGAAATTTTTTTAAAGGTTCTTGGAGACTGCGCAACTCCCGCGGCCTGAAGGCAGAGGAGAGGGGAAGGGAAAGCACATTTTCTGCCACTTAGTCACATTTCTTCCCCGTGCTTGCTGGAGGCCAAACGCCCCCAAACCCAGCCAACCCTCGAAACAAACAAAAATCTCCCCTGGTAAATTTCTCCTCCCTCGTCCCCCCCCCCCAAAAAAAAAGCGGCCTGGGGAGAAGCGGGGAGGCTCTTCGGAGGCCTGGGGTCCGGAGACAGCGCTGCGCGCACAATGCGGCGCAGAGAAGGGACCCTCTCCAGATTGAGGACCCGAAGTTGCCGTCGGATTCTGGGGGCATTTAACCCCCAAGGTCCTCCGCGCAACCAAAGAATAACAGGAATTATCAACATCGCATTCATTCCAAAGCCCTCGCGCGCATTATCCCCTGTCGCGTATCCGGACGGGCACGAAACAGGGAAACTTAGGCAAAGGCGGCCCACAGCCCCACCCGGGGCGTCTGGGGACCCAACCAGCTTACAGGCCAAAACGCCGCCATTTGAGCCCCTTCTGGCGGCGGCCTTTGCCGCTGCAAATGGCAAGGGCCTCCGAACGCGAACCCGGCCGGCCCTCGACGCGGGGCCACTTTTGGGTTGTCGCCACGAGGGGTTAGGCCGCGCCCGGGCGGGGAGGGAGCCCGGGCGTCTTGGTGCTGGGGCGGGGAGGGAGCAAGGACACCGAAGGTTCCGGACCTCAGGGCCGCAACGTTCAAAGCCTCGCCTTGTGCCTCCGCTCCTTCACACCTGCTCCCGGTTTCCCCTCACCTGCCCTCGGGGGCAGTGGTCCTCACTCCTCTCTCAACGCCCGGCGCGGTTCCGCCCAAGCGACCCAACCGTCGTGTGCACAGGCGCCTGTTGCACGACGGCTTCCCGCCTTTTCGCCTCCGCGCACGCGCACACCCGACTTTGCGCAAGGCCCGCTCATGGCCAACGGCCCTCTTGGTGCCCTAGGGCCGGGGCCATTCGCCCCGTCGAGGGGTAGGTTGTCCTTTCCCACCCCATGGTGTGTGGGGCAAGTGACCGTGACTGTCAGCACCCGTGTTCTGCCGGGTGGAAAGAATACTGCCCTTCTCTTGCCCGAGCCGGTGGGGGGAGGGTGCTCCCCATGACCTCCACCCACCTGTGCCCCACCCCCCTACCCCTTGGGGCGTGAGCCAATTGCAGCGGGTCCGGAATGCCACGCAGAAAAAGAACACCTTGGAGGCGACAATGAAAGGAGCTCGTAGGCGGCGGGCACCTGGCAAGGGGCATAGGCTGGGGCTAGTACGTGGCACGGGTGGCACATTTCTGCCGGGGTTTGCAAAGGCACACGATTGTGATGCATGGCGCACTGGTGGGGAGGGGGGATATCTTCGGGGCGACGTGGGAGACGGCCTGGTTGGGGCATCAAAGCGCCACAGTGGGGCAGTGGGGCCATCTACGGAGTCCTGAGGCAACCCCACCACCACCTCTACTCAGCAGTGTGCTTCTATTTTAAGATTATCTCCCACTCCTCCAAAATCCACCCACCCTCGCTCCTGAGGTCCTGTGGTGCGCACAAGGGAAACTCCCTCGCCCCAGGCACACCTGAGGGGAAGGCCAGGTGGGCAGCGCAGGGTCTGAGTCGCCCAGCTGGACTCAGGGGGGCAAAGGGAAGTTTCGGCGGAGGAGGGGGCATTAAATGGCCTCTTTGTGGAGAGGAATTGTGGGCCGTCACTCAGGATTAATTTAAGCAGCAACAGCAAACACACACCAAAAAGCAACGTCTGGCCGCCAGCACCCACCCCCGCGATTGTGTTTCGGGGGG